CAAGAAGCTACTAGGGTGGAGGCCATCGCTACTAGTAGCAAGAAGCTACTAGGGTGGAGGCCATCGCTACTAGTAGCAAGAAGCTGCTAGGGTGGAGGCCATCGCTACTATTGATTATCACGAGCCCTATTTGGGTTTACGGTTTGGGCAGCGTGTTTGCGCAAGAGCTTTTCCAACGCATAAAGTGAAGATACCTGAAAATCGATGGTCCGCAATGTGCGGTGCTGAGTTTATATGAAAAAATAGTTGTACCGGCGACGCTGGGACTCTTTTTTTCTGCGAGAGGTCACGAGTTTACGTTGGCTCAAGTTGGCTTCTGGATCTCCAGCAAAATGTGACTCTGTCCCAATATGAGCGTGACTTACTCTAGAACTCTAGCAGTTGTGTCACCTCACAAGCAAACTACGCCACATACCAACTTCATCTACCTTTATACCAAAAAAACGAAGGATACATAAGTTCAGCATAAGTTCCCAAAGTGTATGCAAGTAGTTCAGCATATGTTTCCTGAGTTCTGCATAATATGCTGAACTCGTTCTTATCTTAGCTTAGCAAGTTCAGCATATATGCTAAACTTATGCTGAACTTATGCTGAGCTATGCTAAACTTACCAAGCTATGCAAGAGTTATTCTATTCTAATATGTTCTTCGACCACGCAACTTTACGAGGACTTAGTTGTAAGTCCACACGACCGGCGCTTGGTCTGCAGATTCTTTGCAAATTGTATGTTGTTTATTGAATGCTTAAACATATTCTTGATCTTCTGAAATATCCTGTGCCTTTCTTGCAATGCATTTCCTGCGATACAAAAATGACATCAACAAAAATGCACATAACCCAAAAATGAGGCTTTGAAACTGCATAAAACCAAACGCTGTAAAAAACACACCTCTGAACCCAACATGGTTCGTCGAAATAGACCTCGCGATAATTAGTAAGCAAGAAGCTACTAGGGTGGAGGCCATCGCTACTAGTAGCAAGAAGCTGCTAGGGTGGAGGCCATCGCTACTAGTAGCAAGAAGCTGCTAGGGTGGAGGCCATCGCTACTAGTAGCAAGAAGCTACTAGGGTGGAGGCCATCGCTACTAATAGCAAGAAGCTACTAGGGTGGAGGCCATCGCTACTAGTAGCAAGAATGACACACTCTTTCTCTCTTCAGGTAGGGACATTTCTCGTCGTCCAACCTGCGGCTAGCAATTGACTTGCTGACATCTCTGACTGCATTGTTTTCAGGGTGTTTGTTTGTTTCTTTTCTATATTTGACTTTTCTTCCTGTTTTTGTTCTTTGTCTATTTGCTTGCCTGCACAAAGGTTGTCCAAAAACATTTGCTGCACAAAGCCAATAGAAACAGAGCAAGTGCATAGCCGAATCCTGAGACATACGGATTCTGTCGGCTGAAATGATGGTTCCGCAAGTGCAATAGGACTCAGTAGCTTCTTGTTACTACTAGTAAGGCACTTGTTCCTAGTAGCGTGGCACTTGTTCCTAGTAGCTTCTTGTTACTACTAGTAGGACTCAAGAGCAGTGCGATTTGGCAACTTTGTCCTGATCTGCGCGGCATCAATCCTGTGTCGATTGATTCTCTGCAACTTGCATTCTTGCACGAGTACCCTTCTTTTGTCTGTTTTTTTTCGATTCTCGGGAAACAAATGCAAAACCACCAAAGACAAGAATGCTTTGAGCTCACCAAAAGTGAATTCTCCTGACAGGAAGTTTTTCAAGTTCCAGGGCAAATGGTTTTTGTCCGAAGACTGTTTGAGCCATTAGCGACAAGAGAATGCAGTGTGCTGGCAATGCACTGAAATGCTTGCAGTTTGAGTATCCAGAAAACTGTCTGCCCTGAGCTGTCTGCATTGTCTCGCTGACTTGTTCCTAGTAGCTTCTTGTTACTAGTAAGGCCAGGAGCCCCTAGTAGCTTCTTGTTACTACTAGTAAGGCACTTGTTCCTAGTAGCGATGCACTTGTTCCTAATAGCTTCTTGTTTCTACTAGCGTCCTTGTTACTACTAGTAAGGCACTTGTTCCTAGTAGCGTGGCACTTGTTACTACTAGTAAGGCACCTGTTACTACTAGCGTGGCACTTGTTCCTAGTAGCTTCCAACCTGAGCTGTCTGCATTGTCTCGCTGCATCTTCAAAGAGTGTCCGCTGACTTTCAATCTGCCAAGGAATGTCCAACGATCATAGCCGTGCAAAATGCAGTTTAAGCAGAAAGTGTTGCAAAGCGCAAAGTGAAAAGAAAGCCAAAAGATTTGAACGGCAGTGCCCGGCTTCAAAGTGGTAGCACGCCGTCTTGTAGCCATCATCGTGTTCAAAAGGGCCGACCCTCCAAGTCGACTTCATGTGCACAAAAATAGAATAGTAGGGCTCCACAATCATCAAAACAGGATAATGCTCATAGCCTCCTTTAAAGGAGCCTTACCTTCCCTTGTTTATATCGCTTTTCTTTTACCATTGTTTTGCCTAATATACTGTTCGTTCTGTTTGTGTCTTTCATTCTGTTCGATTGATCGTTTATGTTATTTTTCTCGCTTACAACAGTGTTCTTGACCTTTATGTTTGGGTTCTTCTTTTTGCCTTTTGTGAGTTATAGAGTAGTAACAAGAAGCTACTAGGAACAAAGGGCATCGCTACTAGGAGCAAGGACGCTACTAGGGCTCCTGGCCTTACTACTACGAGCAAGAAGCTCCTAGCAACAAAGGGTATCGCTACTAGTAACAATATGGAGGCAACCTGCAGTTGCTCTGAGGGCCCGACAAACAACCTGCGAAAGGATCTGCTGATTGTTCCTCAGAGGAGAGATCTGACCTGGGCGTTGAGTGCGGATTGGTGCGGATTGGCTTGTGGCATTGCGCTTGCTTCAGCGCACCATGGTCGTAGTGTCTTCTCCATGTTCCGCAGGGCTTCAGGAATCCTCAAAAGCAAGAAGCATCAAACACTATTGGGTTGCAGGCCATCGCTACTAGTAACAAGAAGCTACTAGTAGCAAAGAGCATCGCTACTAGGAGCAAGGACGCTACTAGTAGCTCCTGGCCTTACTACTAGGAACAAGAAGCTACTAGGTGGAGGCCATCGCTCTTAGGTTGGAGGCACTCTCTCTGCTGTTGCATTTCGAAAGCACATTCTCAGTCTCAGACCCTGGAAGGCGACAGCAGCGCTCCAACTCTGTGCAGATTGTGCTGCTCCAGTTCCTGAAGGAATCATTTGGCCAAATAATAGTAGCGTCCTTGTCCTTGCTCCCAGTAGCGATGCCCTTTGCTCCTAGTAGCTTCTTGCTCCTAGTAGAAAGGCCAGGAGCTACTAGTAGCGTCCTTGCTCCTACAAGATTGCTGCTCGCACTTGTTTGCTCTGGTTGCAAGCATCACAAGGATCTCGTGTCAGATATCTGTTCGACACCGAAACTGTATCAAGTCCAGGCACGTGAGCTGATCCCGTAGGGTTTCCAAATCCTCCACTGTTTCACGTTCGCGCGACAAGACAAAAGAGAAGATTACGGTTTTCTCGAAGAAAAAAGAAACAATAAGCTAGTAGTAACAAGTGCATCGCTTCTAGTAACAAGTGCCTTACTAGTAGTAACAAGAAGCTATTAGAAACAAGAATTAGAATTGGAAACAATAAGCTACTAGTAACAAGTGCCACGCTAGTAGTAACAAGTGCCTTACTGGTAGTAACAATTGCTTAAGGTTTCAAAATAGAATAATTAGGTTCACAGGATTCCAAAGGTTTTAACATGATAGTGATGGCCTCCAACCTAAAAGTAGGAAAGGCAAACATGAAAACGATCTTCTTGCTTCACAATGATGGCTTGAATAGCCGCAGGACCACCACCTTGTGCTGCTGCCGTGACAAAGCCCAACTTGGCGCTGCGCTCCAACGCCTCACGCCACACCTGAGTTCCACATTGCTATATGTTCAGAGGTGTTTGCTGTGTTTCTTTTTTTAGCCCGTGTCCCTACCCCTGCCTCCTTACTTAATTAAATAGGCGCCTACTTGATTAAGTAAGGGGGTAAACACGCTACTAGCAATAGGAAGCTCCTAGCCAGGACGCAGGATAGCTCACGCACAAAGGATTTGGTTCCTAGATCTTTAGTTTTGCTCTCGTCTCTTACTTTCCAGTGCCTCAACTTGCCCAACACCAGCCCAAACAGACTTCTCCCAGCAAAAAATGTAACTGTCAACAGTGCACGTGGGTTTGAGATCTTGTACAACTCATTGATAGGTTTCTCTAGGCTTTCCTGCAATTGAATTGTGAGATGTCAGATCTCTTCACAGGATTTCTGCAAGATAGAAGATTCGTTCAGGATGTCAGAGTCAGAGCTTGAGACTCGCTAGGAATCTTGCTGAGCCATCGTCAACTGTGAGGCCGCCCTCTGCGCAGCAGCAATCAAAGCCTACAGAGGAGACAGCTATTAGGTTGGAGGCCATCGCTAGTTGGTTGGAGGCATCAACGACATCTTGGGTCAAAGTTTTCTGCCGGGCGGCCTCATCATCAGCATCCTTGTCTTCTTCCTTTACCCCTAGCTGCTTGAACATTTCCCCTTCAATCATGTCATCCTGGCGCAAAATGATCATTGATCATTGCAAATCTTAAAGAAATGAACACCACGTTTCTTCAGACAACGTGTCTCCTCACAGTTGTTGTCAGAGTTGTGCGAGATGTCACCTGGAGAGGAACAACTTAGCATGTGAGTCGACAAAGGCAAGGTTGAAAGTGAAAATTCCATCGCTTCAGGCTGAGCATGGAGGCCATTGCTAGTAGGTTGGAGGCCATTGCTAGTGGGTTGTGGAGGACAGAAAACGTGCCTGAAGAATCTCCAAAAACGTCCAAGAAGAGAACCTGACGGACAAATCAGCAAATGTTGACCATCATCCATCTCTTTCAAAAAGAAACCCTGGGGCGAGATTAAAGCCTCCAAACATCAAACAGTTCAATTCAAGCCCACCTTAACTAATCTGAAGCAAAATTGTGAACTGTATAAAACAGCCACAGGGAAGTGGGCACACCAACCCAAAGTGGGCACCCTGCGAGCATATTGTGCGAAGAAACCGCAGAAACTATTGAGACCCAGCCAGGTTGTGAGCCCGACAAGTCAGGAAGGACCTAAACCAGCAAGCGACAAATAGTTAGTAACCAGTGCATCGCTGCTAGTAGCAAAGGGCTGACGTTGTTACTAATAGTTTCTAGCTACTAATAGTAAGGCACCGTGTAATAACAAAAAACGAGAGCACGCCCAAACCCGCTGTCCTGGCGGAAGCGTCGTGGAAGCCTTAGAATGCTCCGGGTTTCTGCAAAGACTATTTGTGCATACATAACTTTGCGCCAGCACCAAAAACCTGTGAAACCTCAACGGCCAACGTCAGTTTGGAAGAATTCAAATTTCACATTCAACAAGTATTGCACAAAATTAGTAGCTTCCTTTTCCTAGTAGCGATACCCTTTGTTACGTTCGTAGCGAACATTGTTCCTAGTTGTGACCCCAGCCTGGTGACGTTTGGCGTCACTACGCGTGCGTCTTGTTCTTGTGTCGGTTGTTCTTTCGGAACCGGAAGAGATACGTTCCGAACGCAGCGTCCGATCGCTCCTAGTAGTAAGGCCAGGAGCTACTAGTAGTTTCTTGTTACTACTAGTAAGGCACTTGTTCCTAGTAGCTTCTTGTTC